GCTTTCCGCTCGCTCCGCTGCTGAAGGTGCGGTGACAGCGCACGGCAGGGGTGGCCGAGGGGTTCATCTTCGCTGGGGGAAAGCGAGAGTCGCACAGTCTGAGAAGCTCCGGTTAACTAGCTGCCTTCTCGCGCAGAATGGCTTTTAGATTGCTGCTGGAGGGTGCTTCTTCCTCGCAGGAGACTATTAAATACGCTCCTGGGGCCGTCCCGCAGGGGACAGCACTTCGATGCTGGGATTTGTGTGTATCTGTGATAGCGGTCTGGAAGAACACAGTAAAACTTTTTGACTTGTTCACCAGTGACTCGGAGGTTAGACCTGTGTTAACTGTTGAAGGTAGTTTACGCATAGAGGGCTGACGCTGTGTTAGTAAATTGTTGGTATCAAAACTGTATGTTTAAAAACTAAATTTAAAGGAATCTGTTTAAGGTGGAAGTTTGGGTGCTGTTTTCAGGAAAAAAATATGTTCTTTTTGATCAACTGAAAGTGACCTTTCCCTGTAACACTGTGCTAATGGAGCAGTACACTCCTGGATTGCGTAAGAGGAGGGGAAATGTGAATTGTGAGTGTGTTGCATCCACATTCACCAATATTGTGCTTTAGCAGCTTAAGCATAAGGTGACTGCCTGTCTTCTTGTCTATTTTGGAGTTTTTCCAAACTCTTTCCTTGCAACTCTGTGTCTCCACATTTTTCAGTGTCCAGCTGCACATACTGCTTTTTCTATGCCTTATTGATTCTGTACACTCTGTTCTTCCTCCTGAGTTCTTTGTGCTCCTCCTGTCCTAAGCTGCTTCCAAAACAACCCTGCTTGTGTGTTATCAGGCACAAATCTCAAATACTAAAAGCATTCCTACAGGCATTGTGGAGCAGGCACTGGAGCAAGTGTGGGAACTCTTGCATCATGCAATCAGCAGTTACCAATCAGCAGGTCAGCGTTAGCTACCTGTGTGAAAGCTTGTACTGCACAGCTCAGGATGTGGTTTCTGGTCACTTTTCCTGTAGATATGTTCTGTTGAGCTCTTTCTTCATCCTAGACTGCACATTCTAAATTGTGCACAGTCTGGTATTTTCTGGGCCCCCTGACTGTAAATATGAGGCAAGATGAGAACCTAAAGAGAGTTATGTTTGCAGGACAGAGTTCTGCAAGAAAATCCTCAGTAAGTATTTGTATAAGCAGAGCGTATAATATTAGAGAACTAGGTTATTTTTTCATGCTAGTGTTCATAAGAATGTATATTTGAGCAGGGAACTGAGGCTTGTAGATGCATCAGGAGAAAAACTGGAGCAAAAAGCTGGTCATTGTTCTGAAGGTTATTCAGTAAATAGTATGTATGAAGTGATTTTAGTTTTGTGTTGTCTCGGGAAAGAAAACCGATCTCCTTAGCTGTAGAAACAGTCATGTCTATTTGCTCGAGGTTAGGGAGGTCTAACAGATACTGTCGCTCAGGTAGCTGACTTTGAGCAAATTGGTCCATGTGTCTGTTTCTGTGCTGGAAAAGTGGGGCCAATAGTGATTTCATTTTTAAAGTGCTTGGAGACCTCATAAAGGAAGGGCATTTAATTACTTTGATGAAGAACATGGGGAAGATGACAACAAATTGTCAAAAAGTATTGTGGATGAGGTGGATCAGTGACTAGATTTGGAATTTTTGCGTTACTAATAACTGTTAACAGTACAATAATCAGATGTTCCTGAACGGAAATGTCCCTATCCTACAGCTGAGCTCTGTGTGTTAAAAGAAGCCCTGTCTTGTGTATTCCAGTGGAATATTGTCCCCTCTAGGGTTTCCCACCTCTGTGAGGTGTAAGGCAATTCAAGTGATAGTAGTTGTTGTTATTGTTTTGTTTTCTGTTCAGAGCTGTAAGAATGAATATAATAGCTGATGGTTTCAATGAATATTGTCTTTTTGTCTTGTTTCTTTGTTGCTGAACTGTCATTTCAGGAGAATGAGCTGTATAACTTTCATTTTGATTTGGATTTGATGTCTTGGGACTCGGACCTTTGGAATATTACAGGCCATGCTTATACAGGTAACTTACCTGCCGTGTTTTGCAGGTGTGACTGTTTCCTCTTCCCCTTCTCCCCAGGAGTGAGCTGTTATAACTTTGGGGACAAAGATGACTCATGTGAAACTACTTGATGGGCTGCAGGATTTAGTTCTCTGGTGACAAGTCATGCTATTTTTCTGTAGGATGGGTACAACCGATGAAGGTTGTCCTACAAGCCAAGCTGTTTGGTATCTTGAATCTTGCTATGTTTACTTCTGTGCCTTGTTTCAGGAATGAAATAGTTGATGTAGAGTTGTATAGTTTTCGCTCGTCTCCCGGTGTTAGAGATTTGTACGGTGAAACGCCTCTGTGTCTCTCTCTTGCAGATGCAAGCATGAAGACGGAGCCTTTGTCACCAGCCACTTCATCGTGTTCGGTCCCTTCTCCGTCGTCTGTGGACTCTTCAGTGCAGAACGTGCCTGTATGCAGAAATCTCCTTGTAACGCAGATGGCAGCAGTTGTTTAGGACTATTTGTGACAAACAAAACACCCCACTGATTCACCTGCCAGATCCACTGCATAGCATAAGAGGCAAACCCAACTTCCCTTCAGTGGTGTTTTCCTTCCTCTCCTACTGTGACCCGTTCTAAAAAGAGCATTTTCAGAATCTGTTTCCTCAGCGGTGTGTATGTGTGTGGTTGCCAAACAACATGCCTTCTAAAGGCTACTGAGTCCAGCAGCTGCTGCCTTCTTCCTCAGTCTGGTGATAAGTCAAAGTGCTTTTTGAGTTTTCAGTAGTACTTAGTATTGATCAAAATAAAACAGCAAAATACAACCTATGTCCTGTTTCTTGTAGCAGCAGCACGGATCTGACGAGAGGGAATTGTACTCTGAATTGCCAGTAGTCGTTCTCATCTGTTCCTGAAGCATTTGTCTCGTACTTTCTGCCTGCAGGATGATGTGGACTTCAACTGTAGTGCCCAGATGTCTCCCATCTCCCTTTACAGTAAGAGTTCCAGAAGCCCCTCATCCCCTGAGGGAGATGGAGGAAAGAAGCCTGTCAGCGTCACGTGTCGATCTGGTATGAGCAATCGAATTATTTCGATTCTGCAACTAGTGCGCTTATTTTCTTGCTCGGACAGTTGTTTAGCTAACAGATAATAGCAAATCCTTTCATTTCTGACTTGGATTTGGGATAGGATATGTTTTTTAACAAGTGCTGTAGGTAGAAACATGACTGTACAAACATGTGAGGAGCTATGCTATTACTGCCTGAATTCTTTACTTCACATCTTTTGGTGGAATTCAGAGCTCTTTTCCTTTCTTAGCAAATAATTCTGTGAGGACTCTGAAGAGGTGCGGTCAGACAGCATCCAGGCCTTCGATACAACCCAAACCCCTGTTGCCTGCTGTACCTGAGGGTCAGGCTAACATTGGCATCCCAGCTAAAACCATCATTATTCAGACTCTTCCAACGCTTGTGCCGCTACCAAAGCATCAGCCAGTTGTTAATATCCAGCCAGCCCCTCCTAAAGGTAGGTGAAAAATACTATGTCTGTGTGGAAACAGACACTGAAGTTCACCTCAGCAGATGAAACAAGAGGGGGGAGGGAAAGAAGGATGCTACGTGCTTTGCTGCAAAGGCTTTATGCTGAGAAGAAGATGGCCTTTTTCCTATCTCTTATAGTCATATGAGAAATAACACTCACTTGAGCACTGCGTGGGATGGAAGACAGTATGGCAAAAGAGGCTGTGCTGAGCATTGGGAGTTGTGGAGATAAAAGTACTGTTCTGGAAGGATCTCTGGAGACCCTTTCCCCTTTTGTTCTGCTCTGCTTGTAATGGCAGGTGGTGCATAAGATGAATCCAGTGCTGTTCTGTCATAACCAAAAAAGAGAAGATGCGGTAGAACCAGCTAAGGTGGCTGAATGAAGCTTAAAAGCTGAGGAAGGAGCGAAAAAGCTTCTTTACTCACGTGGAACTTGTTGCCGCAGGATGGTGGGAACATGAGTTTGTGCTGTTGCTCTCTCTCTCACTAAGTAACATTAGACAGGATGTTACAAATTCTGCTAACAGTTATGAGGGTAATGTTTAGAGTCTGGTTAGGTGTTGGAGTGGTTGTTTACAGGTGTAAGTTGGTGTTAACAAGAGGCAAGTGATTTCCTGTCCATTGGTAATTCTTCATTCCTCTTTAAGCTCTTACTTTGTAACGGTCTGCTGAAGTAGTCCAAGCCTTCATTTCTGAATCCCCAGCATTATTTTACTTTTTGCGAAGCCAGTAGGGATGTTATCTGTGTTGTTGAAATTGCCGGGTGCAGTTGCTTGTGTTCACCAGCTGATGGCTGCAGATTCTTGCAGTTGACTCTAGATGCAGTGTGGAGTGGAAGGAAAAGGAGACAAAAACTTAAGTGCATGTATCTAGAAGTTATTTTAATCGCAAAATACTTCTGTTCATTATTAATTGCTCTTCGGTCAAGAGTTAAGTCAGGGCTGGAGAGGCTGACATTGGCTATAACAGGCTTGGGATTGTTAGACTGCTTAAAATATAGGTCAGCACAGTTGGAGTGACCTAATTCTTATTCCCTCTGATGTTTCATCTGATAAAATACCTCTGGAATAAGGAATGTTGGGAGATATCAGTTTTTCTGGATATAAGTCTAATATTGGGAAGATCAGCTTCTCCCTTCACCTGTAGAAATGCTAGAAAAGTAGCTTCCTACTATTCCCTAGGAATACTATTTCCTAGGAAATATTTTGGGGAAAGTGTTTCTGTGCCGGGTATTTATCTTGGCTGATTGCGTGTTTAAAAACTCTGTGGTGCCACTTCCAAAACAAAAACCGTAGGGTTTTTTTGGTCCTTAGTCAAAATCCCCTGGACATAGCAGATTGGAGCTGCCCGTTTGAAATGTGTCGTTATCCTCAAGGAGCGTGGGGAATGGTATTTTTACAGTCCCTTTCATGAAAGCTTAGAAAGGAAAGCATGATCCTGGAGTATCACATATCTTATGCATTAGCAAAGGTTGAAAGCATCAGAGATTTACTGTTTGAGGTTCGTAAATAGAGCAGGACTGTGTTTGTTTTTTTTTTTTTAAACTTATGATGTCTTCAAGCCCTTTTCTGCAGGAAAGAGATCTAATCTTACGTTTTATACATAAAAGATCTTGGACCTAGGTAAATGACTGTTTTTCACCTTCCAAAAGCTTGGGTAAGTGCCGTAATATACAGTGATGCTTTTTGATTGGAGCGCTCAGCTGGAACACACTCTTTTAAGCCAGCCAGGTCTTCCTGTTACAAATAATTAAATAGATGTTCCTAGGTTTTAGTGCCACAAAGTATTATGATGAGGTTTGCACCTGCTCGAGTTAAATATATTTCTTGGACTGAAATTTCTTAAATGTACTTTTAATTCTCTTTCAAAGTCTTTTTGGAATTACCTACTGCTTTCTTTTATTTCAGGTCTGTTCAAGTTGTGCATAAAATTTCTTATGTAGGACAACACTTTTTCCAAAAACTGGTCTTCATTTAGGGTGAATAGAGGATACAATAGATGTTTTGAAAGTGTAACTTGTATTGTGGTGTGTGTGTGTGTGTGGTTTTTTCCTCCAAATTCTGAGCCTTCGATTCATCTTCGTTTGCTATGACGTTTCTGAATTGGTTTCTACGTGAAGATTTTCGTTGAATGTGGCAGTAAAGCAGAAATGGATAAAAGGGAGAAGGTTTGAAATAGTTGGGACTATTAACGCTGATTAGCCAGAATCAAACTTGTAAATCTATGTAACTATGAAAGGGAGAAGCAGGAGCTTGCACATCATCTTGGGCTTTTTCCCAGTCAGACTCTCATTGCTAGTTTTGACTGAAGGAAGTCCACAAGTGTTTAGCAGACACTACTTTGAAGTAGTCTGACTGTTGGTCTTTACTCACAGCAACTCAGAATGGCAAAGAAGCAAACTACACTCTCAAAAAGCAGTAGGCACCTAGCTGTTCTGCACACCTCTTCAAACTTTGTTCTCTCACAGGCTCAGGAATTGCCCTGACTTTGTGTTTGTGTGTGAGGCCCATAGGCCTCTCATTCATCTTCTGTATTTCACCCTTAGAATTCACATGACATGGTTGGGCTCTGAAGCTGAAGCAAGAAGTAGTGAGACATTGAGGGTACTGGCTGTCTTTATACAATATCCAGGTGCTTGGTGCCACAAATCCTACCAGGCAAGAATGATTTCTGTTAGCTTAAGGTAATGTAGGCATTTGGAATTTTGCAAGTGCGGGTGTGCGAAGGCAATTCTCAAATAGTCACTGTGCTTTCCTAACAGAAAGTAAGAATTTAAAACAAAAACAAAAGCAAAGAAAAAACCAACTTAGCCATCAGTTCCTGGCTTCACCGCAGGTTTTGTACACGTGAATACATCTTGCACACCATATTTCATTTACTTTTTTTTCCCTTGTTTGGAATGATATTTATGTTATGACAGTGGGCTTCTGAGCATTCAAAGCTAGCATTAGCTAAGTCCTCTGAAAAAGTTACTCAGAATGCACCAAATATTAGAAACATGCTTGCTTCAATATTGCTAACAAGTGACTTTTATTAATACTGAAGAGCCAACAAGTTTTGGGAGAGAGCTGGAGTTAGCTGATTCCTTTAACATATATAGTTTTGGTTTGCAGGATGGTTTTGGATCCCTGTGAACTTCTTTTGACTTTTTTTTTCCTCTTCTGGAATATACTGATGCTTAAGAATTGGACTTTAGACAAGTAGCGCTGGCCAGGAGAGGAAGCTAGGCTGCCTACCTCCTGTGTCAATACTGCCCTACAAACTAATCATAAGCAAATCATTTTCGTGTCGTACGCTGAGCGCTTCTCATGTTTGTTCTTGTGTTCTAGGTCAGTCGGTGGTGCTCCCGCAGCCCACGGTAGTACAACTCCAGGCTTCTGGAGTGCTTCCTGCCTCCCAGCCGGTCATTGCCGTCACTGGAGGGACCACGCAGCTTCACAATCATACGGTGACTTCATTGCCCCCAGCTGCTGGAAATGGCTCAACAAGTGGCAAAATAGCAATGTCTAAGCCCTTGCTTCAAAGCACCACACCAGCAATGGGGCTGGATGTAAGTTCTGACTGTGGGATGATAGCAAATAATCAAAGCTTGGAGTTACCAGTTTTCATACCTGCATGCTGATTGTCATGGGAACACCAGATCACTTTAGAGCCTCAGGAAGAAGGCCCTGTAGTTGGGCTCATCTAATAAGATTTCTAATAGGCCTGGGTGTTCAGCACGTTCACTGAATAAACCAGTCTGTTACGTAATGAAAGATAAAGCCTGGGGGGAAGGAGGAATAGCTTGGTACGTGCTAGCCTGCCTAGAGCTGTAGACTGGGTGTGCAAGCATCGTGGTAGAAGAGTGGACTGATGTACCTTTTGCCTTCACTCATCTTTTAGACAACAGGCTTTCAATGGCTGGAGCTCTCTCTTACATACAGAATGATTTGAAATGTTTGATTAGTGCTAAAGCATTTTTCTAATTTGTATAATAAAAGCACTTTTGTGGAAATAGATGAACTGGAAATGTCAGCAATAAGCCGGATTCTTTTTCCACCCACTGTACCTCCAAATTTAACTTACGATTTTGGGAAACGTCAGGTGTTGGGTTTCATACGATTCTAACTTCTTAAGGCTCCTTTTTGGTCATATACTGAATGAATGAGTAGAAAAGAGGTAAGCGTTCAACAGTTACTGCACAAAATAAATAAGGTTTTCCACAGTAAATTGCAGTAAACAATAGGTTTAAAAAAGGAATAGTTTTTGGGTTTTTTTAGCCTTCAGCTTTGACATCTTAACTAGCAAGCTGGGTATTAATTTCATCTAGTTCCTGCTGTTTTGGAGCTCCTTTGGTTGCTTTTTGCTCTCTGAAGAAAAGAAAAGAAAGTCTGAGGAGAGGTACTAACGTTCCTCATTTGTAGGTTTTTCAAATTTTGGGATGTTGTTCTCCATTGTGGTATTCCAAGTGCAGTTTTCGTGAGCTGAGGGTCCTGCTGCATCTGTTGGTGTGAGGGAGAAAACACTGATGTCCTTTCACATGGCCTTTTGCAGTATAGTCACCCACTTACTTGGCAGAGATCATGCAGTGAACCGTCCCGTTCTGTTTAGCTTGGTGTTCTGGCAGAGGGATGACGGGCGTTCAGTCCCTCGCATTTTGTCTGAACGGTCAATCCTGAGCTGCTCTGACTGTCTTTCTGAAAACAGCTTTGTTAGAAGTTGTTTTATTAAAGCAATTAATTTCACAATTCTTAAATGAAGAAAGAAAGAATGAGAAGGTTGGGAAAAATGTTCTTTAAGAAATGGCCAAAACGCATAGGATAGAAAAGACTGAAGACAGCCTTAAGTGGCAGACCTTTAATAGGATGTGACTGGAATACTTTGTGTGTGTGAAGCCTTTAACCCACATCCTCAGCTGTACAAATCAGTATTGCCCTATTCAAGGTAGGGTAGCTGTGCTGACTTTCGACTATGTGTTAATTTGAAATTAATGCAGATCAGGGAGAGGGTGTTGAATCGCTTTGAGAGCTGGATGACTTTCTGTTTGGTTAATTATTTGTTGGTAGTTCTGACTTAGTAGTTTTCTACTGCTTCCTCAGTAATATCACACTTTGGCAGACTGGGATGGAAATGTTTCTGCAATCTCTGCTATCAAGAACTGCTCTGGTATGCAGAAACGCACACTGTTCTCAGTTTCGTCATGCGAAGAGGGACTATATTTCTTAAAATCTTTTCCGTTCTTCCTGTCAGTTGATGGTAAAGCTGTTCTCTTTTAACTTTGAAACCGCAGCTAATATTTGAAAAACTGTAAGACTCTTGATCGAAACTTGCTGGAAAAACTTAGTTCCATCTTTGCTTCTGATGCAGAATTTCTCATAGGGGTTTATTTTTGACCAACTGAATGTTTAAACATTCTTGCTGGAAAGCGTGCCTTGTCTTTGGGTGAAATAATGCTATGTGTTAACAGGCTGATTGACTCTGTGTGCTGGGCCAAACAGTACTAGATTTGCCTGTGCAAACTGTGCAAGAGTAAAGTATTACGATTTTCAGATTGCTCTATGGGCTTAATTTAAACTTGCAAGAATATTTTTCAGGCACTATTACCAGATCTATTGTGACTCTGCAGGATAGGTTTGACACCTTCTCCCTGTAATTGAGAGGAGGTGGTAAAAGGCTCCTCTGTATCTTGGTTTAGTTGTCATCTTTGCTGTGATCTTTCAAATGCCTTTTTGAACCTGCAGCTCAGAGTCCTGGTCCGTACCTCAGTGATCCTCTCTAATGCATCCTCGTCACTGAGCAAAGGGCTTGATCATAAACTTGATCAAAACCATTGTCGTTTTTAGCTTTACTTAACAAAAGCGGTCTGTATTGCAGTATCTTTTCATCATGCAGTTTGCTCAATGCTCCCCCTGTGTGCTTGCCACGTTCCCTTTCATATAACTAACGACACGGAATCTTGTTCTTCCTGGCACGCCACGCTGACCACTAGAAAGCACAGTGCAGGGCATCTTTTCTCAAAGTCATGTGCGTTCTGACTTCTTTGGAAGGATACTATTGTTGAATGGTTTCTTAGGATCTGAGAACTGTCAATCTTGCTTGATGTTAGATTTTCCTCACTATTTATGTTTTTGTGGGGGCTGCATTTTACAATGAAAAATGATTTACTGCAAATAATTCAGGAGCCACACTGCAGTGTTAACCTAGTCCTCAATTTGCAAGCAGCAGAAGGTCTGTCCATAGACAGACAAGTCAAGAGGATTTCATTTTTTAAATAGCCAGTCACACAAAACCAAGCTGAACAGATCTGTCAGCAATCATTAGGTATGCGACTCCCTCTAATCAGAACTAGCATGGAACCTTACTAGTGTCTGAACGTAAGATTTAATAAAACTAGATAGAGAGAACCCATTTATTATCATTACGCTTGTGTGCATGCATCTGTGGCAGACAATCCTACAAATGTGGAGGTGGGGTAATGAATTGCTCTTTGATTTAATTGATGATGTTGTGGGTGTTTCTACCAGAAGCAAACTTGCATCTTTTCCCAAAAGGTAGTTTTAAGATGTGGTATCAGGCTAAACGCTCCACATCGTACTTCTGTTTGTTGAAGTGAGAAACAGTTGCACCTGCTCTTTGGTACATATTGTGAAAGAGCGCTTTGAAAAAGAACAAATATTTCAGGATGCTGCCAGCATTAACGAGATTAAAACATCTTCTTGTGATTACAGTAGAGTCCAGATGTGGCGCTGAGAACTGCACAGATGTAGCTGTCATGTGAGCACTGTAACATGTATTTTTATTTGCTAATCTAAGCAGATATTGCAGGATAAAAAACAGCACTGCAGGACTGTCTTTTGGGCTCAGGAAGAATAAACACTTAGCCCTTCAAATGGGGTAGGCTAAGATCGGCTGATAGTAAGCTATACCTGTGAGGGCCTAGTATTGTGCTTATCCTAATTGCCCATGCCTTTGCAACTTGCCAACAGCAAAGAAGTGCCGGGCTTTTGATGCAGTCAACCAAGAGGAACTTCTTGCTAGGAAACTGGGGGAAAAGACACGCTGCCTAAAGAAGCTGCTCTTATAATTGAAACAAAAGAGACTCTTAAAATAAATTGCCTTTCCTGTTGAAATTAAAAGATACAACCATATAAACAAACAGTAGAGGTGTGATGGAGTGTAATTTAGTTGTATTTTCTTAGGGCCGTTTGCTCATGACTCCACTCTAGTGAAAAAGGATTTAATTCTGTCTCGCTGTTCTGCTACCGCTCCATCTAGATTATGCAAAATTAGCTGAACGTATGTATTGGGTTCTATTAAAGAATCCCATTCTGTGCTGTGCATAGAATAGGTTTCATTGGAAATAAACTCTTCTGTCAAGTTGTGTTCTGTTGAGTTAGAGATACGAAAATGAGATTTTTCCCATGAACAGAGAAAATACTTGTATAGATTTTGTATTTATCCATTTAAGACGCTTCGTGAAAGACAGCAGTTCTCATAATCTAATGTAAGGAGCCAGCCAATGTAAAGTTGAAATAGTTTGGACTTTCAGCTGTTTGCCAGCTTTTCCAGTGTAAATATCCCTAGTATGTGGAAGGCAGAAGCCACTTTTGCCCAAGGACTTGCATATGAGACATTCTAGCCGCCTTGTCCAGAAGTATAGCATACGTTTGAATGGAAGGTGGTTTGCTAAGGACTGAATTTTCTTTGGAAGACTGGTGTGAGGTAGCAGTGTTTATTTGTGAAGTGCATGCTTTTTTTTGTAAAGCACTCTGAAGATAATAAGGCAATCTGAATCTAATTAATATTGTTTAAAGCAAGGTTTTGCAATGAGCTTTTGCCTTTCCGATATTTACATTTTTTTTGGTGTAATGATGTAATTTTTAAAGCTGAGAAGCAAGAGTTGCATCACTGATTAATTTTTGATTTTTTTTTAATACCAACGTTTTATGTTTTCACTTTTGTTGTCTGTGTCTGCTGAGAGCCAGAAGTTACTGTCTTGAATGGTAAATTGATACAATACAACCTACAAAGGAGCCTTAAAAAGAAGTTAGCGGAGATGTTTGCTACCTTTCATCTGTTTGCCACGTGTGCAAAGTAACATTGTTCAAGCCATCAGTCATTATAAATTGCTTCCTGCTCTTTCTTCTAGTTATTGAAATGCTCAGTAAGTGACATGCTAATCTTGATGGTAAACCAGCTATGTAATGCTTAGTGCTTACTGCTTCCAAGTTTCAGCCTTATTCCATTGTTTCACCCACGAGAATTCTTCCCCTTCCTGCATTAGATGTAGGTGGGATCAGGCTTGCAGTACTGGCTTATTATTCCCCATAAAAAGCTAGGCAAGCCCTAGAGGGTTGATCTAGGGTGTTATTAATCTATTGTAGGAACTGTCAGCTAAAACAAAAGAACCCAAGGACGTGGGTTCTTGGGTTTCATTAAAGCAAGCTTAAGAAATGAATCAAAGTGAAATTGATGTGCCGTGGACTGAAAGACAGCAGTTGTGCAGGAGGCCTCGAATCAGTCTGGGTAGAGCTGTTGTGCCTGACAGTGTCTGGAGAACACCGAGTAAAGGAGAGCTGTCTAGATAAATACCGTCTGAAAGGTAGCTAGCACAGTCTGAGACAGCAATAGATGTACCCTTAAGACTTCCAGTCAAACACTGTTCCTGTGCTTTAACTCAACCGTTTCTCAAGGGAGTAGGTAGGTCTTCCAGAGGTTCCAGACACTTACAGAGAGCCAAAAGCTATTCGTAGCGAGTAATCCTGCACAGGTCCTGCAAATGTGAGTGGATAGGACCATATTTTTCTCTTTTGTTTGACTTCAGGACGCGAAGCCTCTTTTTCTTTAAGAATAAACAAATAAAGGCGAGGAAATGTAACAGTACTTGTCTGGAATATCACACGACGTGCAGAAGCTAAAGCTGCTGTGTGAACTCATACCTTGTTATTTCATCTCTGGACAGCTGAAGTGATTCTGGCCTCAAACTGATCTATTTTCTACACTGTAGTCTTTGGACAGCCTGAATCACTTTTTCCTTCCTTTTTCCTTTTTTTTTTCCCCCAAAGTTTTCATATGTCTGCAAAAGTTTCCTAGTGTTGGGTATCGAATTTTTTAAACACTACTGTACAAAGCTTAGTGCTAATTAGAGTATTTTAAAAATCCTTTCCTTTCCCACTAAAGAGAGAACCTGGAATATGAACAATTACCCTTTCACAGGCTTTTGTTGGTAGCAGCAGACTTAGAGATATTATAAACGATCTTTACAGAAAGCAATTAGATCAACATAGAGACAGTCCAAAATGTTAATGCACTGTAACATGTTTTCTTAGTCTTTGTCACTAGACTGTATTATGAAGAAGAATGACTTCTTCGAGCAGCCTGTAGCCAGTTTTCCTTGCAGATGCTAAAGCCTTTAGCGTAACAGATTGCCTGTGTAAGGGTGTACTGGGAGAGGCTTTGAGAGGGAGGGAGGAGAGGGGTTGGAAAGCTATGGTTAAGTTTCCTCAGGCAGCCAAACCCCAGCTAAAGCACACGGTTTGAGTTTGTTGACGCTACTGTTGTACTTCCAAAATAGTTCTCAGCTTTTTTCTTTAGCTTTTAGCTAGATACAGGTGATTCCGGAGTGTGTGTTTTGGTAGCTAGCGGAGTATATTCAGGTTAGTATAAGACAGAGCATTCACTTGTCTTTTAACATTAACTTAATTAAGGCACGTTCTGTTGTGGCTTAATAATGTGATGGAAATTTCCAGTTTTTGTAGAATGCACTTGATAATCTATGATGGAAAGGAAATCGACAGAGTAGTCTTCGAGCTTAGGGTTTCAATTAGCTTTATGTAACTCTACAGCTATCAGTCATTTCTGTCCATGTCAAGATGCTTTCAATCTAGGTCATCCCACTCAGTACAAACCACAAAATGATCGAGTGGTAAAAGATGATAGTCTGCGTTACTGCTCGGGAAGGAAATCGGAGACGTCGTGACTACTGGGGGATGAGGGGAGCAGTTGCTTTGCGCTGCCCTTATCTGGCCTTGCGGACTGCTAGTGGTTGGAGTGCATTATGCGCTCTCCTGGAGTATATCTGCTGGTTTAGCTTCATCCAGAAGGAACCCAGTTTGTGTGCTTTGAGACTGTTCTGTGATGCGAACCAAAGCATATTAAGTGGGATGATCAGGAAATTTGCGTCAACAGCACGCCCCTGATTTGAATGAAAAGGCTAATGTAGATATGGCCAGGAAATTCATTTAAACCACCATGTAAGTGCTTGGTACACCTAGAATGCACAGTCTGGGCTCAGAGACAGTATTCAAAATCTCGGAAAGTATATAGCAGAACTGGAAAAGGTACAGAGACAGAGGTGTAATAAGTGTGGGAATGGCTTCCATACAGGGAGAGACAAAAGAAACGGAAAGAAAACAGGGAACTCACTGTAGCCTATAAAAAGATATATAGGAAGGTGAAAAGGAATCATTCTTTGTCACTCCTGAAGATTTAAAGGGTACTGAAGGTAGTTAGCTAGAAACGGGCTTAAAGGAAACCAAAAAATGTTTCGTGCATTACATAGCTGCCTTGTGGAGCATATTGTGGATACTAAAGCATAAACATGTTAAAAGTAGATGGGCAACTCGGGAAGAAGTTTATCAGTTGAACATAGCCACATGGGTGAGGATTTCTCCAGTAGGAAACTGTAGACTACTGAGCGCTAGAGCTGGGAGAAGACTCCTTCCCTATTTATTGCACTTCTTCCAAGTGTCTGCTGATTATTGTCAGGCACAGACTGCTGTATGCACCTTTAGTTTCATAAGGTATGGGAAGACTTTGCTGTCATCACTTGGGCCAAATGGTGGTATTCTGAATAAAGTAGTGAAGAGGCTCAATGAATAGAGAGGCATGCATTTAGATTTTTTTTGATTAATATTCCCATGGCAGGGAATAGAATTATATTTGGTGGCGTTAGAATGAAACAGCAAAAAGAAGGTGCTGAAACAAACTAATAAAACTCATCAAGTCACTTGTTTTTTCTTTCCTGGATCTTATGCTCTTGTTAGGCACACTGTGGTTTTGATATCCTGTGCTCAGCTGCCTTCTAAGTCATCTTCCTTCTACCTGATCACTTCTTCAGTATCTTCTTCAGATACCTTCATTTCTGGTAATTCACAGGAGATTTGGAGTTTAGATGACTAAATCATAATGGTTGAGGAGGGGATTAGTGTCAGTTTGACTTAAGGGCAGTAGAAAAAGCTTACCTTTTAAAGCTGTTCAGGAATGTTGAATAAATCTATCCATATGTTTACTTGTGTTTTGTTCAGTATATAAAATAGGCCAGAATTAATGTCCTTGGGTGGATATCATTTGTATACCTCTTGATATGCCATCTATATTAGTTTGATTCCATTATTCTTAGTTCTCTCTTTTGCCGTCATAAACACTTTTTCTTTCTTGATCCTATTGCCACTGTGTAGACTAGCAAAGTTCATAATGCAGACCTGTAGACTTGTGCTTTAGTTTTTTTTTTGTATTTCATCAAATGAAGTTGCTGCTTGAGTATACCTTTTGCGCCTGCTGCATATAGAAGGCTGAGAATGCGAGAGAGAAAAGAGACAGTGCAAGACCTGTTCGGTTTTTTTTTTTTTTTCCTAATTCTCCCTTAGCTATAACTCCTGGAGGTGCATGTATACAGTAGCTGCTTGCTTTGGGGATGAACACGTTGGCTCATTTGAAGTGGGGTGGGGGAGAATAACCATGCAGGCTTTTGACAAACTAGACAAATAGAAAAGGTACATGAAAGAGTAGTTGTAACTTAGAAGTTACTAACAGACCTCCTTATTGTCCATCTAGGTCAATGTCTTGAGAAGACAACAGCGCATGATCAAAAACCGGGAGTCAGCCTGTCAGTCACGGAAGAAAAAAAAAGAATACATGTTGGGACTGGAGGCCAGGCTGAAAGCAGCCTTACTGGAGAATGAGAGACTCAAGAGAGAGAATGGCTCACTAAAAAGGCAACTGGATGAAGTGGTGTTGGAGGTAAGAGATTTGGATGAAGAACTAACTGTATATAAAGATGGAGTTGTTCAGGTGGAAGGCACTTGAATAGAATCATAGAAATGTTGATTAGAAGAGACCTCTGAGGGTTTCTGGCTCAGCCTCCTACTCGGAGCAGGATTTTTGCAAGCTCCAGGTCAAGTCAGCTGTCGTATTGTCTAGTTGCCTTGAACAGTTTTAATTCCATATTTCATGGTGCTTCTGAAGATTTCACCAAGAAAATGGACTGGATAGAAGCTGAATATAATGTACAAAATAACCAGTTTCATTTTAAAGCAGTCTTGGGTATGCTCATACACAGATATAAATCTAAAAAGCAAGTATAATTTGGTTTATTTAGCTTCTGAAATACTCTTGCATGTCTGTGAGCTTGATTTTTTTACTGCGTGTCTTTTGTGTTTTTCCTGTCTAGAACCAGAAACTCAAAGTCTCATCTCCAAAGAGAAGAACTCTGTGTGTGATGGTGATACTGGCTTTCATAATGCTGAATTGTGGTCCACTGAGGTAAGCTGTCTGGGAACATCTCTTTGCCCTTCCCCAATACCCTCGCTACTCCTTGTAATCCATAGCGAGTTTGCTGCCTATTTTTTTTTTTTAATTTGAATCTTTAATACAGACTGTGATGTTGTTTAAAACTTTGAACTTGAAACCTAGCTTTTTCTTCTTCACTCTTCTCTTGCACAGAGGGAGGTGTAATGGTGCCTCTTTTGGAGTCCCTCTGGCAAGAAGAGATGGATGTTATACTTCCCATTTATTTTGGTTTAGCATTTTGCTAACCACTGTAGCGTTCAGCAGTTTCCCTTCTGCATTTACACCTGAAGGGATAAAAGAGCTACGTCTAGAATCCTTTTAGCCTAAGCAAAAAGTTGGAAAGAGACTTTGAGGACACGTCTGCTTGTTTATACCTGTGTTAATCTCAATCGCTGGGTGTTTAAGCCATTTTTCGCATCCAGTGCGGTAGATTCCAGTGTTTGTTCCAGTGCTTTGTGATCCTTACCATTAGGTGTGTCCAGCCTCAGTCTTCCTCATTAGAACTTAAGCCCGTTATTACCTGTTTTACAAATCCGGTGAAGAGGCTTTTTCCTCTTTCTCCCTTTAATAGCTTTATACAGCCTTGAAGGCTATTGCCAGTTTTGTTCTTCACATACTGAAGGTTCTTTGATTTGAGTGTTTTTTCTCCCCATAAGCTTTCAAACCATGCAGATAAATTTCTCCTTTTATTTTGTGCGTATCTGTTATTAGAGAATAGTTAGGCTTCTGACTATAAATTAGTCACAACTCAAGACTTTTTTTTTCCTGACTGTGACAATCACTTCCAATGCTTGATTTTTGAGTTCTTAATGATATTAGTAAAATTTCTAAAACTGAAATTACTTTTGAAGTATTTAGGCTTACTGTTTCTTATCTCTCAGGCAGTGAAATACAGCTGATAATTTTACTTTGATATAGATCATGTTAAAGCAGAAAGTTTCTAAGTGCATTTAGGGGTTATACTGCGATTTTTGACTATTAAGCAGAAAAATCAGCTTCCATATATTGAGCGCTTGATTTTTATATCCCACCCCATCTGCAAACATTACCACTCACTCAGGAGACACTCCTCTTTACTTGGTGAGAACTAACAGAATCAGTAATATTTCTGAAGCCAGAAGAGAGTTTAATTTCATCCGCGTTAGGATGAGGAGTTGGAATGCATGAAGTGTTAGTTTTGACAGTCTTGGACACAGGACAGAAGAGGAGAGTGGGAAGCCTTTTACCACGGTACTCTAAAGTTGGCATGCCAGCTCCTCCACCCTCTGGTCTGAGTAATCTGTTGATTGATAGCAAGAGACTGCTGTCAGAGTAGACTGAAAGATCAGTTTGTGTTTATATCTTTATAACAATAGATAACTATGCAAATATAACAGGGTTAATTTTTCTGTTTTTAACTTGTCTATTCAGGAAAGTAGATAAAGTGAAAAGGATGTCTGGCTTTTCCTGGCACTCAAGTGTAATAGCTAAGCCTGAACTACATGGCCTGTGTCAATATTGGATGTAGATGATGGGGAGAAATGTAACTGAAAATAAGCAAGGAATTGCTCTTACTTTTCTGCTTTTTCTCCTAGCAGAATGAATGTTTGCGTTACAGTCTAGTATTTTAACTGCATCAAGGTGATGCGAATGTTGATTTTGCAATACCCTTCAGAAGGCCCAGAGTGTGGGCTATACAAACCATTACTTAAGATTTCACTCCTTCCTTGTACATTTTATTCCTCTTATGGAGGTGTTAGTGATTGGTAGCTCCACAACCGCGAGTAATGATTGCTGTTCTGCTGAGTTTTTAACAATCGAAACTTGCAATATGTGTGCACTTTTTTAAATCCTTGCAACAACTTATAGAAACAAGGCATTTTTATGATAATGTCTGTGCTTGCTCATCGTTCAGCAAAAGAAATTTTTTTTTCTGAAGTAGCTAGCTGTGGAATTCCTAATTTTCAGGCAGTGATCAACTGGAGATAAATCTGATTTGAAACTTTGTGGCAGTATTACCATTTCTTCTTTGTAGGAAAGCATTTCATCTGCACACCTATATAGACCTATGATGGCATTCAGGCCCAGAATATTTTGATTGAAGACCATATTAGCAGTGTATATTTCATTATTTAAAATCAATGAACCATTAGAGTGAGAGAGAGAGCGCAAGCACAATGTCTTTAAAGAAGAAGGGGGGGTAGGAATTTCATCCCCTAAGTTCTGTAGCTAATTTTGAAATTCTCTTAGTTGGCCTTAATTGCAAGATGCTTTGGAACTTCTTAATCGGAAGGGATAGGTTTTTTGAGGGCTAGAGGTAAAACAGAGGAAAAGATGTACAGGTTTTTTCTTTATTTCTCTACTTCTATCAAATCATAGAAGCCAGAAAAGTGGCCAGGTTTTTTGGGGGACTGGTATATATATATATGTATATAT